CCTGCTGAGCAGAACTTTACAAAAATACACAGATGGCTAGCAAATTACATAGTGGGCCTTGATAAGGAATGAAATGAGTACTTCTACTCTAAAAGTTAATTCAAAAAATTGTACTTAATAATATTCATTTGGTATGCTTCTCACCTTTTGATTAGTAAAACAGAAATAACTATTCTACACTTCAAGTAAAAATGAGAGATTTTGGTTACAAGAGGCTATTGAGTTCAAGGACTAAATACCAATCACAATGCTTTACAGATATATATATATATATATGCAAAAAAAAAAGTAGATTTGGAAAAATATTCATTGCATATAGTTTATTTTTGAGTCTTATGAATAAAATCCAAGCCTTCAAGATTTTGGGAAAAAAATACATTAAAGCTTCTTCAAAAATAGCAGATCTACTAATGCTTTTTGAAGAAACAAGCCAATGTAAGTCATTTATTAAATATAGTCAGCATGACTGACTACAATGTATAATTTCTTCTAGCACCCTGAAAAAATATTTTAATCTTTACTTTAAAAAGACATTTCCTTCTTATCTAAAAACCTGTCACTGTAATTTTCAGAAATTGGTACCTACCTACATTTTTCTCTTGAATGAATTCAGTTTGACTATCTGGTCTCTGCCCCTTCTTACGCCTGCTTTAAGCAAATAGAAGGATAGGATTAAATCATCCACTGAAATCCTCATGAAATGCGAATAGTGATAATTGTTGATTGTTCATTCTTGCTTATATTCTGAACTTTATACCCAGGCAGTTGTTTCTAGTCCAGTGCTCTGCTGTTAACTGCAAACATAAAAAAGCATTTGATTTTTGTTTCTAAATATATCTGGCAAAGTGGTCTAAAAGAGTAACACTACCCAAAACAATAAAAAAGCTTTTTTTTTGGCGTATAAAACAGTTCAGTGGTGAAAGAAATGACTGACAAATTGTAATTTTGTCATTTATAAGAGAGGTTTTCACATACAATAGCCTTTTTCAGTCAAGAAACTCTCAAGAGCAACTGCTTTTTGAAGAATGCTTTGACAAGTGTTTAAGATAGTTTAAGAGACTGCTCTAAGACCAGCAGCTTTTATTCAAGTCCAGTTGCATGAGTACAAGGATTTGAATGGTAAATAAATAAATAAAAGTAAGCACCATCTTGGTGCGGAGGGTATGAGCTATATTGCTGTAAGTGGATGAACATTCAGCCAACGAACTGAATGAAGAATGAATTCATCATTCATTAAAACATGA